GTTGAATACAATCATACAAAATCAGCACCAACGATATCTGAAATAAGGGCAAATAATATAAATTATGAAAACTAATCAAACAAGATAAATGTCACACAAATTAAAAAGAAGACTCATTATGGAGACATTTTGTGAAGGTCGAATGTGTCTATTATAACTAAAAAGAACAATAAAAGAAAAATTCTTTGAAAAATAATAGAATATAGAAGGCTAAATTTTGATGATGAAGGGAATACAAGTTAAAAATCCAATTTAAAATATTTATTAAATAAAGGGATAATCAAATTTTATAATAGACTAGGTATATCATAATAAAATGAGGTGGCAAAATGAACAAATAGTACCTTCAAATCAAGCTTGGCATTTTAGGCAGAAGTCTTGTCATATGCCACTTATATTATCAGTAGAATCATTATAGTAGCACTATATGAAAAATCTCTAAATAATGTATGGTTTAAAAAAGCTCATATCTAATTGATATATTATTAGAAAATTCATCCAATCAAGCATGCATCTCGATATAAATATATAACTAAAAAATGTTTTGAGATTTACTTTGGGATCATACAAAATCTTATAAAAAAATATAATTTGATGAGAAGAATTGAAAATATAAAAAATGCTTTGATTCGAATCATTTTAGACCTAAAGCTATCACTCAAACGTATAATGGGAAACCTCACAATGCCCTTTAAGAAACCAAATTATCTTTGAATTTGATCTTCTTATACTAAAAAAGAGCATCATCATAAAAATAAGAACTCAATGAGTCTAAGATTGCTTAGTTTTGATATGTTTAAGATGTTAAAATGTCAAAAACATATTGTATAATTCAGAGAATGATCAGTACTAATTGTTTGATGGAGTGTTTATGAATTTTAGAAAATTAAAATCAAAATATCTCTTAAAAAATCTGTAAATAAGAACTCATTATAGGACACCTAAATTAAGAGAGAGCATGCAAAAATGAAGAAATCCTAGTACCATCATTTGATTGCTTTTATCTCAAGATCATCATCTTCATCATATCACAATTATTAAACCATTGTTGTCAAACCGTTGTCATTTGTCAACTGTCATCTGATTAATGCCGACTTTTCCCAGCTGACATTAACATCTATAGTAATCCAACCATCTTGCCCATTGTTACCTGAAGCCAACAATCTTTCTATGACGATTTCCTTATCAACTTTTTATCAACACAGTCGTCCATCACCTCTCCTTATTTTTACGTTATTTTTTTCACTATACTCAATGAAGGTCAAGTTAGTAATCCATAGTTTATAATCGCCTTTCTCTAATTAGGAGGAAAATTGGACTTTTATAATCTTCATCTATATATTGAATTATATCAATTGGATCAAGCCCCTCTTATTTTCTCTTCGTAGATTTTTCAAGTAAAAATTTGTTGCATCTCTTATGAGATTTTTTAATCTATATGCTTGATAGATTTTTATGCAATGTTAGTATATAAAAAATACTATAAAACATAACATTAATTATAATTGCTTGCATATATTTGAGTGTTTTACATATTTCCATGTCAAGGACTTAGAATTATATTATATATCTACAAAAGCTATCTTCATGAATTTTATTTATTGAAGTGATTAAGGCATTTTGTTTATGAAAACCTAAGTTAGAGAAGATCGTACTCTAAGTCAAATTAAGTTCAAGCCCAATAAATACTTGTTCATTAAGTAAAAAAATGTTTGAAGGATTTTCATAAAGAATTTGTTCAGTATGTTTTTAACTTAATCTCGTTAATTATGAAATATTAAGATTAAGGCATAAAAGCTCATTCCATTTGTCAGGACTTATGTAGGATATTAGCTCTTTTAGTGCTAATTATGTATGATAATTATCTTAATTTAGTGATGGCTTCTTCTCTAATCACTCCTTAATCTTTCATTCACATGGGATTGGTAGAATTACAACGTGCTAGATAATTTATGGCAGTAGAGTAAGTGTTTGATATTTTAACTTTAGACAAAGATCCAATACTCATAGGTAAACATTATAAGAGACCATAGTATTTTACGTGTGCCGTAGCTCAGTTGCAATAATCCATTATATACTATGAAATACACAAATCCTCCCTTTCTTACAATTGAAGAAATTGGATTATTTGTCATCGATAATAATTGTCTGATTCTCTTTGTAGGGATTATAGAAATAAAGTGTGCAAAAAAAAAAAAGTTAAAGTCGAACAACATTTTATAAGTTAATGGCAAAATGACAATTGTTAAATGATGGAAGTTGGACGATGTTGTCATCGATTATTGATGGTAATCGTCAATGGTGATTGTCAGAAATTGCAATCGAGTTCTTTAATTCTCTCAACTCTTGAACCCCGCTTCATGTAGAGATTGAGATCCTATTTATAGTATTTTGAGTGAGACATTTTGATAAATTTGGCCAGAATAAAAAACACTCCATTATATGGGCCATATCGATCCCCTTCATTGTTGATATTTTATCATATTTTTGATTGCCTTGATGATGTCAGAATCGAATGATCTTGGACTCGTTAAATTTACTTCGACGAGTTGCTCAATTTGGCTATAAGCATGCAATATATAGAGACTATTTGGACCCTCAATTAATGTTTAGAAGTTTTCAAATATGTTTCATGTACTGAAGTGGAGCTCATTTGGAGTTAGATCGAATCATTTGTACTGTCAATGGATTCATCTCGTCGAGACATTCCGTTCAATTTTAAATTTTCTGAAAGTAGAGTTCTTATGGTCATAAATTTAATTTTGAACGCTTTCAATTCAAATATTATTTCGAGATTTGTATCGATCAACCAGAATTTTCAGTGATGTATCAAGAATAATTGCTTGAATAATTGCTTTTAATGATTGGAACTAATCCATGTATGAATTGATATGCTTTGACAAGAACATGCATGCATGTCTTTTTACCATCAAAATTTAGGGGATGGTTACCAAATATTATATTCTTGTGAAGGATGCAATTTGTAGTAAACACCAAAATTTAGAATAATATAATTATGTTCATAATCTTGGATATGTCACATTTATTAGGTTGGCTTCATAAAAGTCATTCAATTTTGAGGCACATTGACTCAAATACTTTAGAAAAACATGCCATACATGACTAATAGTACAACATTAGTTTATAATTCTCTAAAATATTATATTCATTCATGTATTATATTTATAGGGGAATATTTTATTCAATAAAATAAATTTTCCCCCTCAACTAATGAAAATATAGCGTTAGCTATAACGTAGGCTTCTTTCGGGACGACTTTCTTATTATTTTTTAAAATAATTTTTTCGTATAAAAAATTTTAATTTAACAAAAAAATTATTTTAGAAAGCAATAAGAATGCCGTCTCAAACAAAGCCTCAGACTGAAATGTTTTTACATTATAAACTCTTATTTGTATAATTTTATGAAATTATATTTACTTGAAAAAAATAAAGAAAAAAATTATCTTAAACGTGGTTGACTTTTTTTAAGATCAAAGTCAAATTAAAATAAAAATATTTATCTAACTCAAATTGAGCATAGAAGACACCAAAATACAGCTTGATTTAAAAGATTGGATCTTTCACAACTCTATTTGTCTCCATCTGAAAATATTCTATTTGAACCAATAGCTTTATTTCTGATATTTTAAGAGCAAGTGCACTAAACTGAATTCCCCAATGATTTGACTTTTGATTTTTTTTGGGGAAAGACTTTAGATAAATGCCGAATAAATGTTCTAAAGTCAGATCTATTATTATTGAATTCAAAGTTCTCAAGACTTCATAAAAAAAGGATTTTGGTTTCAGACTGATTTGTGCTTTGTAGCTATTGGGATCCAACTTTTAGATAAAATACTCATTGGTTTTGTCTGCGAAGAAATAAAGAGCCATTCAGACTACAGAATGAAAGCCATATTCCAATTTCCATCGCTACCTTGTCCAAAATTTGATCTTTCTTCTTCCACCTACCACTGTTTCAGAGCAAATTGCCTGCTTTCTTCTCTACATTCATACTTATAAACTCAGACTCTCTCTCTCTCTCTCTCTCTCTCTCTCTCTCTCTCTCTCTCTCTCTCCCCCACATAACAAACCTCAATTTTTTAATGCATATGTGTTTAGGAGTATAATATTTCTCTCAATCATATATACTTTTAGACATTATCACATTTCTCCATTTTATCTTAACACCTAAATCTAGTTTCAAGTTCTCATTTTTCTCTCATTTTGTTCTCCTTTTATTAATCCACTTAGATGTACAGCACCCACAAAAACATTGTCTGACTTCAAGTTCATTCTTTTTTATATAAGCATAGTCAAAGTTGATAAACCTGTTGCTTTCTTCTTCCTCCTCGTCTTGCTTGTATCATTAAGCCCACTTCATTCCTTTCATGGGGATGATAGCTCAGATGATGGGATCTCTTCTGCACAAAAGTCTCTTCTCCTTCTTGTTCCATTTGTTTCTTCTACACAGCTCTTCTTCCTTCCCTTTGTGTACAAATTCCAGTGGGTTTCTTCTGATCTTTTAATATTGCTGTTTTTGTTATTGTGTTAAGGTTTCTAATTTTGTTTGTGGTTTCTTGTGTGTTTTGTTTGAATAGGGGCACCCATAAGACTAAATACGCCGTTGGCCTTCTGCTCTTATAATGGAAGTAGCTGCTGCAATGCCACTGAGGATGCTGAGTTGCAGAAGCAATTCAGTTCTATGAACATTTCAGATTCAGCTTGTGGTTCCATTGTTAAGTTGATTCTCTGCACGAAATGTGATCCCTATTCATCAGACCTCTTCACGGTTGAAACAAAAGCTCTGTTCTCCTTTTATTAATCCACTTTGATGTACAGCACCCACAAAAACATTTTCTGACTTCAATTTCATTCTTTTTTATATAAATAATATAAGCATAGTCAAAGTTGATAAACCTGTTGCTTTCTTCTTCCTCCTCGTCTTGCTTGTATCATTAAGCCCGCTTCATTCCTTTCATGGGGATGATAGCTCAGATGATGGGATCTCTTCTGCACAAAAGTCTCTTCTCCTTCTTCTTCCTTCTGTTTCTTCTACACAGCTCTTCTTCCTTCCCTTTGTGTACAAATTCCAGTGGGTTTCTTCTGATCTTTTAATATTGCTGTTTTTGTTATTGTGTTAAGGTTTCTAATTTTGTTTGTGGTTTCTTGTGTGTTTGGTTTGAATAGGGGCACCCATAAGATTAAATACGCCGTTGGCCTTCTGCTCTTATAATGGAAGTAGCTGCTGCAATGCCACTGAGGATGCTGAGTTGCAGAAGCAATTCAGTTCTATGAACATTTCAGATTCAGCTTGTGGTTCCGTTGTTAAGTTGATCCTCTGCACGGTAAAGAACATATTTTGACTAATTTGGAGTTGGAAATCCTTTTTGTTTACAGTAAAATTTGTTTGTTATCTCTCATTGATTCTTAGTTTGCAAGAGGTGAAACAAATTGCTTCAAGAAGAGATTCTGACGCATTTTTTGCATTATGAGTTCAACATTACTGATCAAAACAGAATGATATTTATTTAAAAATATATGAACTTTGTAAGAAAATGGTTTTGTACTAAAAAATGACATTTACGCAGAAATGTGATCCCTATTCATCAGACCTCTTCACGGTTGAAACAAAAGCTCGCAAGGTTCCTATTTTGTGTAGCAATGAAAAGTCCAACGAAGCTTCAATGGACTTCTGCTGCAAGGTTTGGAATACTTGCAAAAATGAAAAAATTCAGAACTCTCTCTTTTCAGCAGCAGCTTCAGCTTCAGAGCCAATTTCTTCTTCCAAACTTACAGATCATTGGAAATCTTCAACTGAATTCTGCAAGGCATTGGGAGGGTCAGCTGATACTGAATCAATCTGTTTCAATGGCACATCTGTTTCATTTAAAAATACAGTTGATCTGAATCCTCCACAAGGTATCTGTGTTGAGAAGATAGGAAATGGATCATACTTGAGCATGGAGCCTCATCCAGATGGATCAAACCGGGTTTTCCTGTCGGACCAAGCAGGTTTGATTTGGCTTGCAAGTGTTCCAACTCAAGATTCAGGAGGAACTTTGGATTTGAATGAGTCAAATATTTTCCTTGATTTGACTGATACGGTTCACGCTGATACTGAATTTGGAGTAATGGGTCTTGCATTTCATCCAAATTTTACTAAAAATGGACGTTTCTTTGTTTCATTTAATTGTGATAAAGTACAAGTAGCAAGCTGTTCTGGAAGGTGCTCTTGTAACTCTGAAGTGGGTTGTGATCCTTCTAAGCTTGATTTGGTTGATGGTGATCAACTTTGCAGATATCAAAGTGTTGTTTCAGAGTTTACCGCTAACAGCTCCTCATCAACACCTTCAGAGGTGCACATTCAACTCCCATGTCTTAACTTTTAAAATATATTCCAGAAACTGAGTAGTTCACCAAATGTTATGCTGTTAGTTAGGAGTGTCAATATTTAACATGACCCGAAAATCCGACACAAATACGACCCGAAAATTCCGGGTTAGGGTCAACCCAGATCCGAAATGGGTCGGGTTCAAGTTCAACAAAACGACCCATTTCAAAAATCAGGTTGGGTTTGAGTTGACCCAGAAATCTAAAATTGATCCGTTTTTTACCCGAAAACTTGTATTGACCCTGAAACCTGAGATTGCCCTGTTTCCGACCCATTTTTTACTCAAAAATTGGAGATTAACTCGTTTTTTTACCCGAAAACAGTAATTTTTGGTCGGCCCCGGATCATTCGGGTCGTGTAGGGTTGACCCGAACCCGAAGTAGTCAGGTTCGGTTCCGAAAAACCGATCCGTTTACAAAAAAGTGTCGGATTAGGGTTGACCGAATAGTGTCGGGTCAGTTCCGGGTTCGACCCGAACCCAACCCATAACCCGAAATATACACCCCTACTATCAGCTATTGTATTTCGATGACATTTTATCATACAAACTGAGCAGTTCACCAAATGTTATGCTGTCACCTACTGTATTTTCTGACATTTTATCATACATTCATACCAACGACATTTTCCCCTCTGTTATTAGGCAACATCTGCTATTCCCTCTGAAGTGAGAAGGATTTTCACCATGGGGCTTCCATATACAGGTCATCATGCAGGTCAAATTCTTTTTGGACCTGAAGATGGGTATTTATATTTTATGATGGGAGATGGTGGAAATAAAGGAGACCCCTTCAATTTTGCCCAGAATAAGAAATCTGTGCTGGGCAAAATTATGCGGCTTGATGTGAATAAAATACCAAGTGAGTTTTAATGAAAACTGATACCTAAAACTTTCTTCAATAAGTATTATTTCAGATTGCACAGATGCTTTCAATAACAAGCAACATTGCCTATTACTTTCTTTTGTTCTCCATCATCTGAAAGGTTTTTATTTTATCAATTTCTTTCAAGGTTCAAGTGAGATAAATGATCTCGGTCTCTGGGGAAACTACTCAATTCCAAAAGACAACCCATCTAGTACTGATGATAGTGAATTGCTACCAGAGATTTGGGCTTTGGGTCTAAGAAATCCATGGCGCTGCAGCTTTGATTCCAAAAGGCCATCTTATTTCTTCTGTGGAGATGTTGGCGAGGTATTCTACAACGAAAAATTTTATTTATCTTCTTGTTGCTTAAGGATTTGTTCAACTTGGTAGCTTATTACTTGAATTCCATTCAAATGAAACAAATCACTTCTTTTATGACCTCTTATAGTGTTCTATCCTTCATAATGAGTAATATCAACATTATTTTGGCTTTATGATGCTCTCTTTCCATTCATTCCTACAAGAGATTTTAGCTCTATTTCCTGCCATTTTTTGTAACTCACTTAAAAGTTTCATATAGTATAATTGATCTCATTAAAGTTTTGCAGAATTTCTACTTATGCTTGAAATCTTCATTTCATTGATGAAATTGATTTTATACCTGATAGGAAATACTTGTGTTTGCAAGTAACCCTAAGGGTAATACTTGAGTTCACAAGCAAACCTATCACCAATTGGTGAAAAGACAGCGAGAATAATGCGAAATCTGGGTGAAAACAGCCCCAAAACAATATATTGAGGTAGGAAAATCAAAGCCAAATAATAAGGAAAACAAGATACAAGAGATCCTCAATTCGAGAGGAGGATCGTCTCTCCCAAATCTCTAGACAAGAGAATCTAGAGCCCAAGTCGCCAAGATACCCTAATTGAGAACAAATCAAAACATATCCCTCCCTAAACATTTCATGTTCTTTAATACAAAAAATTTCATAATCTAATTTTCCTCCGAAGCCCTAGCCACCCCCTCCTTTTCAATTTGAATTCAAGTGGACAAGTGTGGCCCTCAATATGGGTGGGCAAGACCAAGGGAGGCGGACAGTTTCCGGCTCCTGTAATAGATCTCGGCCGGCTGGGCCGGTTCAGGATGAACCGGCCTAACAATACCTTAATCTACTTTCTTTGTTTACTTGTAAAGATCAAGCAACTCATCTCAAAATTCACTTCTATAAAGTTTTGAGCCTTCTTTTGCTTCCACTATATGTGAGTATTCTTCTTGAACAAAGCATCCAACAGCTACTGCTATAAGTAATCTCTTTTGATAACTAATATTGTAGGATACATATGAAGAAATCAACTTGATTTCAAAAGGAGGAAACTATGGATGGAGACTTTATGAAGGCCCTCATATTTTCCACCCATCATGGACTCCTGGAGGAAACACCTCCCTCAACTCTATAAATCAAATATTTCCTGTCATGGGCTACAATCATTCTTCAGTAAATAACAAAGAGGGATCAGCTTCAATTACTGCATACTGTTCTGCGAAAGTAGTGGCAGCATTGGATTTACACTTGGGTAATATAGCTAAGTCAAGAGCTGTATTGGGCGGTTTGGTGTAAACTATGCTGAAGGGTGTCTTTCCCGTAGTCCTGTTAGTCATGGAGTTATAAGCAAATTCTGCTTTACTCAAAACCTCTTCCCAACGTCGCGGATGATCTTGGACCAAGCATCGGAGCATATTGCCCAGTGTCCGATTGACAACTTCAGTCTGACCATCGGATTGAGGGTGATACGCCGAGCTAAGACGTATTTCTGTGCCAAGCCTTTTCCACATTTCTCTCCAAAAATGACTTATAAATTTAACGTCACGATCCGACGTCAAACTGCGTGGAACTCCATGTAGGCGAACTACCTCCTCAAAGAAAATATTAGCAACGACGAGTGCGTTGGAAGTCTTTTTACAAGAGAGAAAATGAGCCATTTTTGAAAATCTGTCTACCACAACCATAATAGAATCATTACCTTTCCTTGTTCTCGGTAAACCCAAAACAAAATCCAGACTAAGATCTTCCCAAATCGAGTCCGGAACGGGTAATGGTGTGTAAAGGCCTGTATTTTGTGCCGTTCCTTTGTAGACTTGACAAACCGGGCAGCTCTCGATTAATCGAACTACATCACGACGAAGTCGCGGCCAAAAGAATCGGGATTGTAATTGCCGCAGTGTGTTGTCCCTGCCTGCGTGAGCTGCCATCGCGCCACTATGAGCTTCCCGAATGAGATATGGCCTCCAAGACGAAACTGGAATGCATAAAAGATTTTTCTTGAACAGATATCCATGCCGAATGGAGTAGTCGTCGACGGGGCCTTGGTCTTTGCATTGACTCCAAACTGTGCCAAAATCTGGGTCGGTGCTATATAGATCCTTAAGACATTCCAATCCCGTAATTGCTGTCTGTAGAGTGACTAACAGGTTCCGTTTTCTGCTCAATGCATCAGCCACCTTATTTTCAGTTCCCGGCTTGTGTTTAATGGTAAATGAAAACTTTTGCAAGAACATTAGCCATCTCGCGTGCATACGGTTAATTGACTTTTGGCTATTAATGAATTGTAGCGCTTTGTTATCACTACAGAGAATAAATTCCTGGTGAAGTAAATACTGCTCCCACTGTTTCAAGGACCGTATAATCGCGTAAAGTTCTTGTTCATATGCAGCCCATTTTTGCCTGGAGTCACATAATTTCTCGCTGAAGAAGGCTATCGGTTTCCCTTCTTGTGATAATACGGCTCCGACACCGATCGCCGAAGCATCGGTGTCCACAGTAAATAACTTACCAAAGTCTGGTAAGGCGAGGACGGGAGCTGAACTGAGAAGATTTTTGATGGCAATAAAGCTCTCTTGCTGCTCATCTCCCCACTTGAATACCTTAGCTTTCAAGCATTCAGTTATGGGAGCCATAACAAGGCTAAAATTTCTGATAAACTTGCGATAAAAGTTAGCTAGGCCATGGAAGCTGCGCACTTCAAAGAAGGATTGTGGAGTAGGCCATTCGGTGATCGCCTTTACCTTTGTAACATCCATTTGTATACCTTCGGCTGATATCACGAACCCGAGAAAATGCACTGTTGAAACACCCCATTCACATTTGGGAGTGTTTATAATGAGCTTTTGATCCTGTAGTGTCCCGAATAAGATGGCTAGATGCTCCAAATGTTGTTGCCAGTTGTTGCTGTAAACTAAAATATCGTCAAAGTAGACGATACAAAACTTGCCCAAAAACGGTTTCAACACCTCATTCATCATTCGTAAGAAGGTAGAGGGGGCATTACACAAGCCAAATGGCATCACTTTCCACTCAAACAATCCCTGTGGAGTTCTAAAAGCCGTCTTCCATTCATCTCCGGGACGAATACGGATTTGATGGTATCCGCTGCGTAGATCTATCTTGGAAAAAATGGAAGCCCCGGACAAGTGATCAAGTAATTCATCCACACGAGGAACAGGGAAACGATATTTAATTGTTATTTTATTGATGGCCCTACTGTCGATGCACATGCGCCAACTGCCGTCCTTTTTTGGAACCAGTAGTGCGGGAACCGCGCAAGGGCTCACACTAGCTTGAATCAGTTGTTTATCTAACAGTTTATCCACCAGTTCTTGTAAAATCTGCTGTTCCTTAGGATTGATGCGGTAATGTGGTAAATTTGGTAGACTAGACCCCGGCACCAAATCAATTCGGTGTTGAATAGTACGTAGTGGTGGGAGCTCAGACGGCAAATCTTCTGGCGCTATACTGGAGTACCGTTGCAATAATTTTTCGATCTCTTCTGGGCATTGACGAACCTCATGAGGAAGTGACTTCTCTGTAATCAGCAAGGCATAAATCGGGGCAGGATCTTTCCAGCATTGTACTAAGGCGGGTCCAGACACAATGTGAAGTGCGGTTTGGCTTGAAGTTGCAGTGTGACTGTCGAATTGGTTGGGTAACAACCTCAATTTTCTTCCTTTATACTCTAGGACGTATACATTAGCGCGACAGTCATACATAGCCCCCGCATCGAATTGCCACGGCCTTCCTAAAATAAGGTGGCAGACGTCCATTTCGACGACGTCACAAACCACCTCGCAAACATAGTTTCTCCCTATTGAGAAAGTCAGCCTGCAAGAATCAGTCACCGCTATTTCAACTCCTCTCTTGACCCAACTTATTTTGTAAGGGTTGGCTCTCTTGGTTGTTTTCAGCTGCAAACTTTGTACTACTGATCTGGATACGACATTCTCTGTGCATCCGCTATCGACAAGGAGGTCGCACACTTTTCCCAGGATGGTACATCTAGTTCGAAAAAGTGCGTGTCTCTGGGATTTCAAGTTACTCCGAGGAGCTAGTAGTAGCCTCTCGAGCATTGTAATCACTGGTTCACCATCATCAGCATAGACATCCTCAGTCCCTTCCTCGCAATCGGATTCAACCTCAGCAGATCGGTCTTCATCTCCTGGCTCCGCAAAGTGTGCTTGTTGTCGTTGGGGGCATTCGTTGGATTTATGACCTGGCTGAAAACAACGGAAACACTTGATAGTGGACGGTTTAGCATAAGGATTATCCTTACCTGGATTTCTTGGTTTTAACTGTGTCTTGTGTTCCGGTACTTCATTCGGTGAAGATGTGGCATTGTTAGTTGTAGCAGGTGACTGAGCAGATTGTCCCAGGGGAAGCGATCCTTTGTTGTGACTAGACCCTTGTTCTTGCCAATACTTACGGCTGTGAGTTGTTCTAGATTGTCGGCTGTGTTGTAGCTCCGCCTTCATAGCAAAGTTCACGGCCTGGGCTAGTGACCAAACAGAATTCAGCTCTAATTTATCCTGGATGCTCTCCTTAAGACCGCCGATGTAGCGTGCCACTAGCTGATTTGCCGACTCATTTAAGTTGTTTCTGGCACTTAATCTGTTGAACTCCTCTGTATATTCACTGACGGATCGGGATCCTTGAACACAGTGTTGATAGCGGATGTAGAGGATCTGTTCAAAATCTGTAGGCAAGAATTGGGTACGTAATAACTGCTTCATACGATTCCAATTGCGAACCGGGCCTTTCCCTTCACGTTGTCGCTGTTGCAACGTCTGTGCCCACCAAGCGCTAGCTCCCCCTTTCAATCTACAAGCGACATATTTCACTTGTTTGCTGGATTCAATTTCCATGTAAACAAAGAAGTTCTCGACGGCTTTTTCCCAATCAAGATAGTCTTCGATGTGTAAATGTCCATCAAAAAAAGGGATGTCTAATTTCACCTTGAATTCGTTTTGACGGTGAGTAGCCATCGGTCGGATATGCCTCCAGTTCGCGGGATAATAGGTATTGTCAACTTCTTCTTCCCCTGAATCCGCAGCCGCAGCCGCTGCGTCTCTGTAGGATTGTATTTCATCCTCTGAATCAGAGATTTCTTGTAACAGTGGTTGATGTCGCCAATGCCTGGCTGCAATCGTTCCTCGTCTCCCGCCGGGTCTTAGTGGTGCCGTTTGTGGTAGTTCTTCACGCGGATTCCGCTGATGGTGTGGTCTCGCCTTGATGAGATTGAACTCGCGGCGCATTTCGATCGTCAGTCGCTGCACTTCGGCGGCGAGCTCGTCGATTCGACGAATGACGTTCTCCTGGTTTGCCCACAGTGAATCGAGACTCCGCGATTCTTCGGATACAGGTGCCTTGCCGCGATCCGCCATCTCCACGTTCGCTCTCCGTAGCTCTGATACCAAACTATGATGCCGCCCCGGATTCTCGTCGAGCCTGGAGAAAGGTTTTCGCAAGCAATGGAATAGCTAAACGGAGCTGTATGCTCCCTGGGTTTGTCTATTGATAAAGTTTTGTAAAAAGATAGATGAATACATTTTCCTATACCCTTTCTCTTATATGTAATATCTTTTGCTAAAAGAAAATGCTATAAAAGAGATTGCAGAAAACAAAACAAACTATTGCAGCAGATAACTAAAAAGGTAAATGGGGTAGTGGAAGGCGTATCTGGTTGTTAGGCCGGTATGCCGATCCGCGGGTACATCATGAGATGGGCTGCATCACGAACCTCCGAAAAAGCGACCCGTTTACAAAAAAAGGGCTGAATTCGGGTTGACCCGAATAGTGCCGGGTTAGTTCCGGGTTCGACCCAAACCCAACCCATAACCCAAAATTGACACCCCTACTATCAGCTACTGTATTTCGATGACATTTTATCATACAAACTGAGTAGTTCACCAAATGTTATGCTGTCAACTTCTGTATTTCGCTGACATTTTAACATACAAATGATTTTTTTTCCCTCTGTTGTTAGGCAACATCTGCTATTCCCTCTGAAGTGAGAAGGATTTTCACCATGGGGCTTCCATATACAGGTCATCATGCAGGTCAAATTCTTTTTGGACCTGAAGATGGGTATTTATATTTTATGATGGGAGATGGTGGAAATAAAGGGGACCCCTTCAATTTTGCCCAGAATAAGAAATCTGTGCTGGGCAAAATTATGCGGCTTGATGTGAATAAAATACCAAGTGAGTTTTAATGAAAACTGATACCTAAAACTTTCTTCAATAAGTATTATTTCAGATTGCATAGATGCTTTCTACTTTATTTTGTTCTCGATCATCTGAAAGGTTTTTATTTGATCAATTTCTTTCAAGGTTCAAGTGAGATAAATGATCTCGGTCTCTGGGGAAACTACTCAATTCCAAAAGACAACCCTTCTATTACTGATGACAGTGAATTGCTACCAGAGATTTGGGCTTTGGGTCTAAGAAATCCATGGCGCTGCAGCTTTGATTCCAAAAGGCCATCTTATTTCTTCTGTGGAGATGTTGGCGAGGTATTCTACAATGAAAAATTTTATTTATCATCTTGTTGCTTAAGAATTTGTTCAACTTGGTAGCTTATTACTTGAACTCCACTCAAATGAAACAAATCACTTCTTTTATGACCTCTTATAGTGTTTTATCCTTCATAATGAGTAATATCAACATTATTTTGGCTTTATGATGCTCTCTCTCCATTCATTCCTACAAGAGATTTTAGGTCTATTTCCTGCCATTTTTTGTAAATCACTTAAAAGTTTCATATAGTATAATTGATCTCATTAAAGTTTTGCATAATTTCTACTTATGCTTGAAATCTTCATTTCATTGATGAAATTGATTTGATACCTGATAGGAAATACTTGTGTTCGCAAGTAACCTTAAGGGTAATACTTGAGTTCGCAAGCAAACCTATCACCAATTGGTGAAAAGGCAGTGAGAATAATGCGAAATCTGGGTGAAAACAGTCCCAAAACAGTATATTGTGATAGGAAAATCAAAGCAAAATAATAAGGAAAACAAGATACAAGAGATCCTCAATTCGAGAGGAGGATCGTCTCTCCCAAATCTCTAGACAAGAGAGTCTATAGCCCAAGTCGCCAAGATACCCTAATTGAGAACAAATCAAAACATATCCCTCCCTAAACATCTCATGCTCTTTAATACAAAAACTTTCATAATCTAATTTTCCTCCGAAGCCCTAGCCACCCCCTCCTTTTCAATTTGAATTCAAGTGGACTAGTGTGGCCCTCAATATGGGCGGGCAAGACCAAAGGAGGCGGACAGTTTCCGCCTTCTGTAATATATCTGGGCCGGCTGGGCCGGTTCAGGGTGAACCGGCCTAACAATACCTTAATCTACTTTCTTTGTTTACTTGTAAAGATCAAGCAACTCATCTCAAAATTCACTTCTATAGAGTTTTGAGCCTTCTTTTGCTTCCACTATATGTGAGTATTCTTCATGAACAAAGCATCCTACAGCTACTGCTACAAGTAATCTCTTTTGATAACTAATATTGTAGGATACATATGAAGAAATCAACTTGATTTCAAAAGGAGGAAACTATGGATGGAGACTTTATGAAGGCCCTCATCTCTTCCACCCATCATGGACTCCTGGAGGAAACACCTCCCTCAACTCTATAAATCAAATATTTCCTGTCATGGGCTACAATCATTCTTCAGTAAATAACAAAGAGGGATCAGCTTCAATTACTGGAGGCTATGTCTATAGGTCCAACACTGATCCTTGTTTGAATGGAAGGTAAATGACTCCTCTATCTATTTCTAGTAGAATTACAAAATCTGTTACATAATTTCTATTCATTTTAGCTTTAGGCTTTGTTTGGGATAGCTTTCTTCCTGCTTCTTAAAGCGGCTTTCAAGAAGTAATTACCATTTTATCAGTCAGTTATCAATTTGCACAACTGAAACTGCAAATCATATGCTGAGAAGTCTTAGATTGAAAACTTTAATTCATCATTAGCCTTCTTTTCATGAATCAAAATGTTCTACTTGGCCAGGTTTGTTTATGCAGACCTCTATGGAGAAGCAATGTGGGCAGGTATTGAGAACCCAAAACTCAGTGGAATCTACAACAGCACCAAGTTGCCATTTTCCTGTGCCAAAGACACTCCAATTGCTTGTGAAACTATTGAAGGTAGTTCCCTCCCATCAATGGGCATTGTGTACTCATTTGCTGAAGACAACGACGGCGAAATCTATATCTTGGCCAGCAAAGGTGTCTTCAGGCTTGTCCGGCCGAGCCGGTGCAACTACAGTTGTGCTTCAGAAAGCCATACAGATACTGCAAGTCCACCACGAGGCACATCCTCCTCAACAGCTAAATTTACAAGTATCCACTTGAAGCTGATGCTTTTTCTCAGTAGCTTCATCATTTTGTTCAATGCCTTATAAAGTTTGTATGATTTTGTTATTTGAAAGTTGAAACGCCAAATCTTTGTAGATTGTAATAGTTTAAAGGTTTTTTTTTTTTTTTTTTTCATTCACTGATTCTGAGCTTGAGAATTTAGGTGTAATTCATGTCCAAACTTAACTCAAATGGGCTAACACAATTCTATGATTAGACTCAATAAAAATTTACTGAAGTAATTAGTTCTATTATCATCCATGAATTATTTTTGATGATTATTTGATAAATTTTATGTTTTTTGTCGACAATCTAATACAACCATCCACTTTTCTCATCGAATGGGCTAACCCAATTCTATGATTAGACTCAATAAAAATTTACTGAAGTAATTAGTTCTATTATCATCCATGAATTATTTTTGATGATTATTTGATAAATTTTATGTTTTTTTAGTTCAAAATTTTAAAAATGTTTGAACTAAAAAACTATTTTAAGAAGTAGTAAGAAAGGCTTCTCGAATGATAAATTATTCAAATTACTTAATCACAACTAAATGATAAAATCTATAAATTATGATTTTAATTTTTGACTTGAAAATTATTAGATTTTAATTTTATTTTATTTTATCAAATTCAATATAGCACCAAAAGTTTTCAATAATTATACCATATATTATCTAAATTATTTTCATTTATTCCCAACTTCCCATAAAATATCCAAAATAAGGAAAGTAAGACATTTTTTCTATCAAATGCCTAAAATATTTGGAACAACTTTTTTTTATTATTTTTATGTTAAAAAATATTATTCAATAAAAATTAAATTTGTTTGAAGAACAATTTTTTTCTATTTCAAGATTTATTTTTAAAAGCTATTATTAAAAAAACAATTTTTTTAATCATTATAATGCTTAAGTTGAATTGACTTTAGGTTGGATCAAGATTGATTAAAATAGTTCTTAAGTCAATTTTAAGGAGCAAATAAACTTTTTAGATATTTGAAGAACCACAATTTTACAATATTTCAATTAATCACATAATTCGTAATATCTCAATCGCATAATAACGGAGATGCAACTCATTTTGATTCAGTAAATTTTGAATGAAAATAAAAATAAGATTGACCCTATTGTCTACAATAATTGTTAATTAGATCTAAGCTTAATTTGAGATGACTTTCTTATTACTTTTTAAATAAGCTTTCTAGTACAAAATTTATTAAAAAGCTGTTTTAAAAAGCAGTACGAAATTCATCCCAAACGAAGCCTCAAACAAATTAAAGTTTTTAACTTTTGATCCAATCAATTATATTTTAAAGAAAATCTTTTGCTAATTACTTTAAAAAAACAAATCATAATCATCATCAAATTATAAACCCATATTCTATGTAGTTCACATATAAAATAATTCATTTTTCACATAAATTTATACAACACAAAGTAAAAAAAAAAAATTGAAATAATTTCATATAAAATCTAATTATTTTTCACAAAATTATTATGAAGGAAATATAAGTAGTTCAATTATATATTTTTTAAATTTAAATAATTTTAGATCTAAATTACTTGAAAGTTGAAACCAAATCTACTATAAAATTTCCTGTTCACGATAATTACAATGTTGCTCACCAAACTTAATTTTCCCAATAAAATATTGGAAGCTCAACAAATCCGTTAACAAATATATACCTAATTCAATTTCTCTTTAATGGTCTTCTTGATTGAATCATCAAGTACGAAAGAAACTCCTCTTCCAAAAAAAAAAACTCCTTTTTCCCTTAATTTCACGGAGAAAAACGGTGAACAGATAGATACCTTGCTGTAGATCGAGTGCTAAAGATGAGATCTTCGGCCTCCTTCAACCTCCGCTCTATTGTATCAGACCGCAGACGGATTCTCCCATTCGCAATTCCTCTTTATTAATCGCTTTCACTTAATCCCCACATCCAAGTAACTCTCTTTCATTCATTCCCGAGAGAGCTGCGCTTCAGAGTTCGAGAGGAACGAAGAAGCATAAGCCGAAAGATGAAATTTTCGAGCTCCTTCCTCCTCCGCCCCCCAGCTTTAGACCGCAGATGGATCCTCCCTATTGCCATCGGCTCTTCCTTCTCTCTCCTCCTCCTCTTCTTCACCACCCTTTCTTCCCCCGTAAACGCCTCCGCTCTCCTCCCCTTCTCCTTCATCTTCTCCCTCCTCTCCTCCTCCCGTGTATCTTCTTCCTTCTTCACCCCCTCCTTCGTCGAATCAAAGCTGCAATATTTATCCTCTTCCTCTTCTTCTTCGTCTCTCCCACTTCCCCCACGTCTTGCCTACCTAATCTCCGGCTCAGCCGGCGACGGCTCCATGATCAAGCGTACGCTTCAAGCTCTCTACCATCCTTCGAACCGTTACATCGTTCATCTCGAAGCCGCTGCATCTCCGGAGGAAAGGAATAATCTCCGAGACTTTGTCGCCGGTCACCCTGTCTTCAAGGAGGTCGGAAATGTCAGGATGATCGCAAAAGCCAATCTTGTGACCTACCGTGGGCCCACCATGGTCGCCAATACCCTCCACGCCGCCGCTTTGTTGCTTCGGGAAGGTGGCGACTGGGACTGGTTTATTAACCTGAGTGCATCGGATTATCCTCTTGTAACGCAGGATGGTAACAAGTTTGCTTCTTGGCTTTTCTTGCTTCTGTTTTTTTAAGGAAAATTTAGTTTTTTTGATTGGTTTGATCTTGATCTTGTTGTAGATTTGTTGCATACCTTCTCGTATCTGCCGCGGAATCTGAACTTTCTTGATCATACGAGTAATATTGGGTGGAAGGAGTATGTTGGAACTAAGATTTTGAGCTCTTGTTAGTGTTGAGTTGGAGCTAAAGATTGATTTTTTTTTTCTTGCAGGTTTCAAAGGGCAAAACCAATAATTATTGACCCAGGACTATATATGTCAGAGAAGCAGGATGTTTTCTGGATACCCCAGAGAAGAAGTGTGCCAACTGCCTTCAAGCTTTTTACAGGTAAAGAAATCCTAGCCTTGTAAAATGCTTGTTGTTTTGCCTTTTTCTGTTTTGTTACAAGTATTATTTAAGTCAACTAGGATTTAACAAGTTTTGTAAATTCATATTGTATTAGAAAATCCTAAATGTTTTGAATCTTTAAAATTTTGGCATGGTAGATATTAAATCTGATTAAACACTAGTAAATTATTCGATAGATATTTTCAAGATTTATAATTTAAATGAAGGAGAAGAAGACTCGCAATGAGGATAAAGTGATGTAAATCTCTTAAACTCGAATTCCCCAGGATTTACCGATTTACTAAATCCATAATTTAATCTCCAACTGAAGTAAAATGTGGTTTAGAAGTTAGTAGTATTTGTTTGGCTCAAAATATGATTCGCAAGATTTAACTCAGATCAAGCGAAATCTTGCAACCAAGCAGCCCTCAAGTTATTTATGGGACTGCCAATCTGTTATGCAAGTCTTTTCAATTGATTTGTAGATTCATAGTTTGTTTCAATCATTATTGGAGACAATATTGCTTGTTTATATTTGTTGGTAGATCCCTTGAACTGATATAAACTTTGGATAATGATTATGATGAAGCATAATTATATAGATGAATATGGTCTTTTGCTAAGAAAATTCAATGATGCACTACCCTAGAGTGTGATACACTTGTCTGTTGCATGTTTTTTTTTTCCTCATGTCAATATTGAATGTTAAGATGAATGTATTGAAAATTATGAATGATGAATTCAAAAATGATTATAATAAAATAATTGCAGGAGTAGCTATCTGTTGAAGATAAAGTAGAGGAAGATACACTTAGGTGGTTTGGACATATACAATGAAGGATAGAAAATGTTGTATGTAAGCAAAAATACAAGTTACAATTCAGTAAATTAAACTACTAAATTTATTTGATAAGTTATCATAATATTTATAAAATATATACAATAAAAATGAGTTTAGAAATTTTATTACCTAGTCTTGCACAAGTACTATCCTTTAGTAGTATTTCCACCCCGAAAAAATATGTCTCGGTGCAAAGGTCACTCGTAGTAGCCCTCTAGGATAAGATGACTCTTGTTATGTGTAGTGCACTCACCATTGAGGATCCTAAGAAAAACCTTCTTTTGATGCAAAAAAGTACTCGCATGAGCTCTGAAAACCAGATCATATCTGATCTTACATGTAGTACTTTGCAAATTTGGGGAGATGGGAGAAGAATGTGACAAAGATAATATCTCAGTGCAAATTTGCTGATGGAGAGATAAAAAACCTTAAGATTTTCTATAAGCTCACTCTCAAGCACTCATGTACAAGTTGTTGGAGAGTTCTAACATTAAACTCCATTTTTTATAGAGATGAATATGGCAAAAATTGGTGAAACACTTGAGGAATTTATTAATAGAGTTTCCAATGTCATAAGATTGAGTCTTAACGATAACATAGACACTAGTGTCTTTTGGACTATAAACTATTGCATAGAATCACTAAAAACTTATTCACAAGAACTTGATAGACTATGTTTCTATGAACTATTGTGTGAATAAAAATCTTATCGCTCACGTTGCATTATCAAAGAAGGTCGTTCATTGCAATTTGATAAATTATGGCCTTACGTCAATCCTATATTCATGATTGCTCTAGAAAGTTTAGCTTATATTTCATAAAAAGAGACTCACTTTCACAATTGTATTGATGACTTCATCAAGTGCGCATTGCAACCAAAGACACCATCTAAAATCTTAAGAGCATAGCTCAACCTCTTCCATTATGTTTCTACACAATCCAATACCATTGGATGGACAAATTTAGTTCATTTAGGGATAATTCCTGACCAAGTTAATCAAATACTTATTGAAACAAGATGAACCTATTTCCTTGGATCACCATTCAATTTTGTTGGTTTAACTCTTGTACTAGGCATAAGTCTCATTCCCCTTGTTGCAATTTTCATTAATTTTATGTGGTTCTGTCAGAGTATTTGCTAGGTTCATCAATGATCCTACAAAATTAAAGAATTATACGCCATTATTCAACCTAATCGTTGTACATCTTGCATCAAATCAGTATTAAGGCTTACGTTGTATTAAAATGCCACATGGAAGTGGGGCAAACTATCAGTGTAACTTAAAAGATCATAAAAGCCATGGAATCTCACTAACTTTGCAAACTTATTTGATGAACAATGGAGTAAGCAAAATCAAAATTGTTATGATATTAATTTGTTAAAAAAATAATTTATAATTTGGAAGCCAATCAAGTTCATGTTTGTGATCTTGAAGTGAATTCTAATCACAATGATGAATCAATTCATTTGAATGTTAATTCTGATGGGAGACAAATAAATGATCTTGATAGCATATTTAGGGTATTTAATAGCTTATGAAAATTATAAATGTCAAAATTTTTGCATAGATGATGACATAACCATAGAAATTAGAGTTGAAATGTCTACCTATGCCGCTAAAATTAAGCCTAAATTTTTACCAATTTATTATTGGTGTTAGATAAAATTTTGAATGTCAAACCGTGTATGATGTACAATAAGCGCCATTTATAAAAATGAAATTAACTTTTTCTGAAATTTATTTCAGTAAAAGTTTTCTTGCAAAGACAGATAGTTCTCTTTAAAATTCTTTTATTTCAAAAAATTTTAAATATATGTCTTTGTGATGTCTTGATTGATTACTTATAAATTTGATTCACTAAAATAAGGCACTAAGATTGTCATTTATATGAATATATTTGAGAAATTATTGTTGTATTTTGAGATAGTTGAAGATGAAAAAGATCACATTATTTAGATTTGTCTGATTTGAAATCTAATGTCAAGAGATAGAAGACATCATCACATTCTATCACTTGGTTATGTTTTTCAACTTGCACGAACTTGAAAAAAATTTAATATTTTATGTGTCTAAGAAGGTTACTATGTATATGGGGACTATATAATTTCATCGAAGTAATTTAGTTTAGTCTGTTGCACCTACTACATCTAAGGGTAGTAACTAGAACTAATTAGGTCATTAAGGAAAAATTAACTACATTTACATTGAGGTCTAAGATTTCGTTGAGGTCTAAGATTTTTGCAAAAGTATGTTTTAAGTATCATCAAACTGATCATTATGCTAGCGAGTGTCCCAGTAAAAATTTACATATAAATGTGAAGAAGAAGAAGAAATCTGAAATAATCATTCTAATGATGTTCATTAGTTTGATAAAGAGATTTTTGTGGATGCTTTAGTTAATAATTTTCTGATTGTCATTCGTTTTATCATACTTTCTCCTTAGGTTAAATCTGATTGAAAGAGAATTGCAATTTTTTAATCTATTTCAAGCATGGGGAGATGTTTTGCAAACTTATTATTATTAGTGAGAGTGGTATGAATGTTTTATCTATATCTACCATAGATCACATGAATTATGTTGTTAATGTCATTCTATGTAGATCATGGTTGTATAAGTTAGATGTTACTCATTTTGATAGATCTATTACTTACACTTTCAAGACTAATAGGAAAGGAGTAGATTTGAAACATAAAAGCCTAAGTTTAAATCTAAATATATGCAAGAAACTAGTGGTTCTAATGAAGTGAATAATCCTTGAACATTCTAAGTAAATATGCAATCGAGAGGGAGTGTGGGCAAGGGAGTGATATATGCTTTCTTAGTTGTGAAATTTATTAGTGTGATGTATGATGTTGTGACTTCTCTTGATGATGTTAAATAAGGGTTGGTTCATTTTAAAGGTTTTTCCATGATGAATTTCTTAGTGAATTACCACCTTTAAGAGATATACATGTTATTGATTTAGTTCCTTAATCTTCATTGCTTAATTTTTCTCATTTTGTGGTGGATCCAACATTGCAAGATGAGTCTAATAGACAAGTTAACAATTACTTAAGAATGAATTTATTAGGAAAACATGAGTCATTATATTTTAGATGTTTTCCAATACCATAAGTCTTATTCTTTGCAGCAAGTGGAGAGCAAGACTTTTTTCAAGTGGAAGACATGGAGAGAAAATAGGAAATGTGGATGAAAATTCTCTAACTTCATGGGAGTGTTGAAATACCAAGTCTACTTAGATGTTATAAAATATAATTAACTGAAAATACACTCATAAATATGTATTTAATATAGATAACATTTACATCTTAATATAATACCATTGAATCGAACACTTACAGGATTTGACATATAACATTAACATCTTAATAACATTGAACCAAAAATCACCTAAATTTATAAGTTTTCTTTACAATATCAGCAGCCTCATAACATTATCTTATTGCAACTGTATATTTGAGTAGTATTCTCTTTATTTTCAAGTAGCAGGCTTGTTTTTTATTCACCGAATATATATAAACATCATACTTTACATAACACTTGGTATGATAATAACAGCTCCATAGTGAAGGAAACCTTGATCATCTTCTGTTTCTTTAGCTATGGACTCATAAAGAATTCCCTGTACCTGAAGATAGCTGAAGGTGGATATCTTTGGGCTCCTTTAGTCAGGGTTCTCCTTCAAATAATTTGAGAGCTAGAAATTGTTGTGGAAAAAACTGCTTTATGAATCCTTTTCAAAACTCCATTGTAAAAGTAATTTTCTTAAAACAAATATCTTAAAAAATAAGTCAACTATTGTAACACAAATGAGATTCATCTGCTTTCGATTGCTTTATCAACACAAAGCACATGAACCGCACACAACATCAATAACTTCATCAGGGGTGGAACCAAGCATAATTTTCAGGGGGAACAAACTTATAAGTAATTGTAGGCAGATATGTCGGGGATCCAAGGGGGCAGCGCCCCCTGACGGGATTCGACCTGGGGGCAATTGCCTAACAAATTTTGATTTACTATTTCTCTTTGTATTTGGTTCATCATTCCCTAACAATAACACCTTTAACATATTTAATTATACTGGGGGCAAAGACAAAGAATTACCTAAATAATCATATAGAAAAAAAAGGTGTGTGTGTGTGTAGGTGGGGGGGGGGGGTTGCCCACCCTAGGCTCAAAGGGGTTTCACCCATGAACTTCATCATGTTACTTGGACTGCCACATGTTCAAAACTCTCAATGTACTATGCCAATTTGGATTTACTATTTGAATTTACAACAGGATCTGCTTGGATGGCGCTCTCCCGCTCTTTCATCGACTACTGCATATGGGGCTACGACAACCTCCCTCGAACAGTCCTCATGTACTATGCCAATTTCCTTTCATCACCTGAGGGCTACTTCCACACTGTGATTTGCAATGCTAAAGAATTCACTAACACTACTGTCAACAATGACCTGCATTTCATATCATGGGATAATCCTCCTAAGCAACACCCACATTACCTCAACTTGAAGGATATGGAGGTTATGGTCAATAGTAATGCGCCATTTGCGAGGAAGTTTCGAAGACATGACCCGGTTCTCGACAAGATTGATGCCGAACTCTTGTTCCGTCGGCCCGAAAGGCTTGTTCCAGGGGGATGGTGTGTAGGGAGCAAAGATAATGAGAGTGATCCATGTCTCGTCGTGGGAAACGGTTCTGTTCTTCGTCCCGGCCCGGGCGCAGTCAGATTGCAAAAGCTTATGGAGAGGCTTTTATCAAAAGAAAACTTCAGGTCAAGGCAGTGCAAGTGATCACTGCAGCAGGATTTACTATAAAAATTGTAGGAAATGCAGTAGTTGTTGACCAGTGTTCTTTTTTTTTTTTCTTAGATTGATGAAAGAATGGAGGAATGTTCATTTATCGTTCCCTGTGTAGGCACTTTTTTGGATTAATGCATAGAGTTAAATAGACAACAGGATTTAGTTGATGATGCTTTGTTTTTTAATCTAATGTAAGGAGAAGTGTCTGGAAGTTACATCCATATACATAACAAATGTGCATATTTTGTAATCAGAGACCTGCATTGCTTCATAAAATGATACTTTTCATGTTTATATAGGAATATAATCGAGTCAGATATCAATCAAATATTACATTGCATTTGTTTACGGTTTTATAAGGGACAGTTTTTTACTGCTTTTTAAAATAGATTTTTAGTACAAAAATGTGTAATTAAAGAAATTTTTGTATTAGAAAGCTGCTTTAAAAAACAACAAAAAAAAGTTGTTTCAAACAAAAGCCTAAGGCTTTATTTGGGAAGGCTTTTTTAATGCTTCTTAAAGCAACTTTCGAGTACAAAAATTTTAACATTTGTACTACAAAGCCGTTTTAAGAAGCAGTAAGAAAGCTATCCTAAATGAAGCCTAAGGCTCATATTGAGCTTATTTATGTTCCATGAAAATTGACACTCAGTAAAGGTTTTTCCTTTTTTGGATTGAGTGGTGGGAAACATTTTTTGTGTAGATGTCAAAGGAATTTGTTTCAGGCTGTTTTCAAAGTTTGATGAATTTGTTTATATGCTTGTAAACAAAACTTGCATGTAGTATAAGAGATATTTAAAATGTATCAAAGTCAACACTTTTACAGTCTAATAGGCTGTTTGTTTTGCTGAAAAAGAAATATAGAGTACAAAGAAAATTTTAAAGTAAATCCAATGTATTAAAAAAAAAATTTTTTTTGTGTTGTTTGATTAAGTAAACTATAAACACAAGAGATTTTGGTTAGAAGTAAAATTAATTTAGATTTTGTTTGAGAGAATTTTTTATTGCTTCATAAAGCAGCTTTTTAGTTTAAAAAACTTTATATTATAAAATTCTTTTAAGAACTAATAAGAAGGCCGTCGCAAACAAAGCCTTGGTGTGTTTGTGACAACAATGAGGTGGTGGGCAATTGTCGATAAGGGTTGATAGGGCTTCACACCGGCGGGATATGTGGAATTTGGCTCAAATTGGGCAAATTTCAAATTTATTGCAAATGAAGTGGATAGAAAATTCTAAATGCATCTTTTTTTTCTTCCAACCAAATGTTAGGAATTTTGAAAATCGTGCATTTAGTTATTTTATTCTTGTATTGCTCGCATCCAAACAATCCCTAAGGCTTCGTTTGGGGCTTTCTTAGTGCTTCTTAAAACAACTTTCTAGCATAAAAAATTTTATTTTTTAAAGTAGAAAGCTACCTTAAAAAATAATAAAAAGACTGTCCCAAATGAGGCCTAAATTAATTTTAAAATCTTTCTTTAAAAAATAAGAATAGCTAATCCATGATAATTTAATTATATAAGTTGATTTTTAATTATATCCACTAATTATTAAAATATGACTAATTTTATTTTATTTTTAAATTATTTTGGGATTTTTACATACATAACACTTAAAACTATTAAAAATACATATTTAACACCGAAACTTCTAAATTTACTAATATACCATCTAAAACCGTTCTTTTAATCAATTCTAACATTCCGTTTAAACCTTCCATCAAAAATCACTATCAGTGGCTGTCTTCCCCGTCAATGGCATCCTTTCACAATGAATACAAGTATCTCATCTCTTCAATGGAGTGATAGAATAGAAGGAAAGTGATATTTTAGATGGTATATCAGTAAGTATAGAAGTTTAGGTGTTGGATATGTAATTTCAATAGTTTTAGATGTTATGAATGTAAAAATCCCAAATAAAAGAACAAGGAACTAATCACTCCCTTCTGGCTTTTGCTGATGTTCTTTTTAGTGTTGTTAAATGTCTCATGCATCATGTTTTTATAATTTAAAATATGGTATATTGATTAACTTAGATTGAGCTATTATGAGAAAAATAATTTTTTTGAAAGCTTCTTTGAATATTATGAGGGTCTGTTTGGGACAGCTTTTTAGTTGTTTTATTTTTCGGATAATTTTATTTTACTAATGCTTTTTGTTGGTTTCTCATACTTTTTTACAAATTTATGTGATGGAAAGCTAATTTTTGCAACCATATTAATGAAGTTGTTTTCCTATGACAACTTCACAACCAGCTTTATAAAGTGATGCAGTCATCCCAAACAAACTAAAAACAAAGTGGAATTACTACTTTCTTATTACAAATTTGATTATAAAAAATAATTTTTAATTATAAAAATTTCTTGAAAGCAATATGAAAATATTAGTCAAATAAAATTTTGGTTGCAGCCTGAAAAATAAAACATTAAAAAAAATTACCAAATAAACCCTAAAACTTAAATTTACTAATATATATATATCTACATTGATTTTCAATATTACCTATATATAAATAATGTTGCAAATTTTTAGAAATTAAAAAAAAAACCAGAAATTACATTTAATATGTATATAAATAATCTAATTACATAATGTAAATTTGTAATTTCGGAAAGCATAACAATAAAAAAAAAAAAAAGGAAATTGTTGTTCAAATTGAAGGAACTACCAACTCTAATGAAGGCACTTAATTAAACTTAATTTAATAGTTAGCTAAACGCTCATTTTAAGCGTTTGGCCTCTCTCGAAATTGGTAAATCGCAAATAAATTTTCCCAACAACCTCAGAGCCCCCGCTTGGGTTATAAGCTTACACAACAAAGCTCGGCAATGACGGGGTCTTATGCTAGCATATAAAAATATGTTAGCTTCTAAATTATTTTAAGATGTGGGACTAAAATTATTATAATTAAGATTTAATCAAGGATTAAGGCTATGTTTGGGATAGCTTTTTTTATTGCATTTTAAAGTAGTTTTTTTTTTTAACAAAAAATTTTTTGTTTATAAAATTTTGTGCTAAAAAGCTGTTTTAGAAATCAATAAGAAAGATATCTCAAATAAAGTCTAAAGCTAATGTATATCCTTAATTTTGCTAAAGATTAACAAAGCAACGTATTCATTTCCTTTTGGCTATAAATAATTCTAAAATATTTGTTATGAATTGATTCAGATTTAAGTTATTTTCTACATGCATGACATCACATTAAATATTAATGTCAAAGCCTATATACAAGTATTATATGCAATCATTGTAGGTAGGGGTGTCAATATTTGACACAACACAAAAAACCAACTCGAACCCGACCCAGAAATTTTGGGTTCGGGTTGACTCGACGGGTTGCCCTCATTATACATGCAATCGATTTCAAAAAGGGGTCGGGTTCGGGTTCGCAGATTCGACCGTTTAAAAAATGGGTCGGGTTCGGGTTGACTCGACGGGTTGCCAAGTCAACCCGAAAGCAGAGAGGCACGCTTCGGTCGCCTATTTGTCCGCACGAAGGAAGAGGTGGTCGCTCGGGACTGGGAGTTACGCTCACATGTGGATGTTCAGGATGGAAAAGGTCAGAACACAGGCTGGATCTCAATTAATGGATGACCAGATGGTGGCTGTGAGGTGCCACATGCGGTGCGGATCACAAACGCGGGCTTTGGGATTTACTCGTGTCATTTGATAGCAAGAGAGCGAGAGCGCTATATGTTGTTGCAGGTTACCCAATGCACTCAGGTCATTCGATCACGTGATACAATGACTATTCTTGGAGAGCAGAGGCGGGAGGGGAAGAAGAGTGTTGGTTACTCAAGCTAGTGAGGGTGGTGGAGATGAGCTAATGAGGGTGGTGGAGACGAGATCATGTTTGAGAGCCTGCAAGAGGCGGAGGTCCAAAGCGGGTTTGTTTGTATGTGAGAGCCTGACGGGAAGCCGCATCACACACAGTGCAGATGATCAAAAGCAATATCAAGAACCTCAAAGTGAGAAAGATCACACGAGAGGCAATCACATGCAAAAGTGCACAAGAAGCAAGTACCAAACTCAGGATTGGACAAGTGGCTCGTGCAAAGTCGTAGGCCGGAGCATGCACATGTGTCCGGGGAAGACAAACATGTCGGAGGGTGGTCGATTCTGGAGCATGGGTATGTCGCGCAGGAATAACTGCGTGGGACTAAAGCGAACAGGAGTAGGCAATGCATAAGGCACGACCGTGAGGATGACTGGAGGAACAACAATGGGACCAGACGCGCGTGGTTAAGAATGCGCAGGAGTGCGAGCTGGAGCCGTGGATCGAAACACACAGCGGAGGTCGGGTGCAAGCATGATTAGTTTTGGTTAGGCGGGTTTGTTCAGATTTCATTTTACTCATGCTTTTTGTTGGGTTCTCATGATTTTTTAAAAATTTATGTGATGGAAAGCTATTTTTTTAAACCATATTAATGAAGTTATTTTCTCTACGACAACTTCACACGAGCTTTATAAAGTGTCGGAGTCATCCCAAACAAACTTTATGATTATTATGATTCAAAAAAAAAAGTTGAATGAATACTTTAGAATTTAAATTCTCCAAATAAACAAAAATTCTCCAAATAAACCCTAAAATTTAAATTAACTAATGTATATCCGATTTTTGCATTCAAATTATTAAGTATGCCGATTACATCTCCATCTGATTTTCAATATTTACCTAAATATAAATAATATTAAAAATCTTTAGAAAAAAAAAAGATATTACATTTAATATGTATATAAATAATCTAATTACATAATGTATATTTGTAATTCAGGAAAGCATAAAAATAACAAAAAGAAATTGTTGTTCAAATTGAAGGCACTACCAACTCTAATGAGGGCAATTATTAAACTATTGAGGTGTTTATTAAATAGTTTGCTAAACGCTCATTTAAAGCGTTCGCCCTCTTTCGAAATTGGTAATTAGCAAATCCATTTTCCCAACAACTTCAAAGCCCCCGCTTGGGTTATAAGCTTACACAACAAAGCTCGGCAATGACTGGTTCTTATGCTAGAATAGAAAAATATGTAAGCTTCTGAATTATTTCCCGATGTGGGACTAAAATTATTACAATTAAATTTAATCAACAATTAAGGCTATGTTTGCGATAGGGTTTTTATTGCTTTTTAAAGTAATTTTTTTATACAAAAATTTTTTGTTAAAAAGAATTTTTACTAATAACATCTTTAGAAATTAGTAAGAAAGTTATCTCAAACAAAACCTAAAGCTAATGCAGATCCTTAATTTTGCTTTCGATTAACAAAGCAACATATTCATATCCTTTTGGGTATAAAT